TTAGATGTCCCCATGAGAGAAGTGCTCAAAGCCATTAGCACAGCAGTAGTGTAGGCCCTGGAGAGAAACAGGCGCGTGGCTGGCAAGTGCTGTCACTGGGAGCTGTTAGGACAGGTACTATAATTCAACAACACCTGTGACAGTGGCATTAATCATCAAGGCAGTCCTCAGGGAAAAAGGGCAGTTAATTGTGGCTGACATATTGGGTACAGCTATTGTATAGGTCTTGCTGAAACAAAAAGCAGCTCCTGAAATGGGGAGGGGAATCAGGCTGATGTACAGAGAAGGGCTGTCTTCTTAGCAATATATGGTAGGAAAACAGCAGAAAAAAGCCATCAAGAAGACAAAAGCTTCATGCAAAAGCTTCGTGTTTGTCTCCATGAAAAAAAAAAGGCAATAAAAAAAGTGTTCTATGTCCCACAGAAGCAGCAGTAAAACATGTGCTGAGCAGATGTACGGCCTTTCCTATCCGGGGCGTTGTGCAGTCAGGCCCACAGTAATGATGCAGGAAGGCAAGTTGTTCAGAGACACCTTCCAGTGCTGTACGGTGGCCATGGGGTGGGAAGGGAGGCTCTTGTTGTCGCTGTTAATGGAACGATACCATCTGAAGAGAGATGGCTGAAGGAGGAGCTGAAGCACGGCCTTCAGAAGTGCCTCAGCCAGGCCGTGCGCTGGGCCGAGGGCTGGGCGAGAGCGCGCAGGCTCCTGGGGGCTGCTGCTGTCCGCGAGCTCGCGGGGCCTCCCGCTCGCCGTCAGCAGAGCTTCTCCTGTGCTTCAGCCTTCGGCAGCGCAGTCCGAGGCCGTTCAGGGGCTCGCACGTGGTCCCTGTTTATTTCCAGTGCAGCTGCCTTGCATGCATGCGGGAGACAGCGCCTGACCCTCAGCCACAAAGAAATGATCTTTGTAAAGGGCAGCTTGAGGCACAAAAGAGGGGAATCCATGGTTAAGGGTGCTGACCTATACTCCAACAGGATCCTCTTGGGAGAGGAAAGAGTAGAGTCTGAATTGTGCATAACGGGCAGATAGAAGTGGGGGTATCATCAAGCCAGCTTGCTGAGCTGGAATGGTACAAGTACATGCCAGGCCTTCTGCCCAACCTGGGACAGGCAGGGATAAAGAATCTCGCTTTTCCTCAGGGTCTTGCTCTCTCAATTATTATTATGGAGCAAGTAAAAAAAAATGTTACTGGGAAGGAGGCAGAGTGGTTATGAACATCATGTCATGCTCATTTTTTTCCAAACAGAAATCACAGGTGGATTTTCCTCCTACTCAAATGGAAGACCATTTGGTCTTTAAAATGCAGGCTGTTATGGAAGGTGTGAGCACACACATATATGTTGTACATTAGCAGCACAAATAGTTATACTGCAAATAAACATTGATTCACGGCCTCATGAAGGAAAAAAAAGGAGATTTTTGTTTGCAGACTGTTTACTGATTCACCTTATAAGAGCCTCTACAGAGCATCTGCCAGTTTCTTCTTTGTAATCAGTAAATTTTAAGTCTTAAGGGGAAAAAAAATGAAGTTAATTAAAGGTATTGAGTGTCTAGAGACTTCAACTTTTGAATAATTGAATTTGTTATTCTTGGATTTTGACTTGATCTTTTTGGCAAATGCAGGCCGAGATCTCCAGTGTGAACTTTGTGGTCTAGTCAGTATTTAAGAGTGAGGGGAGCAAAGAAATAATTAGCACAGGATGTAGGACAGATGGCTCCTTGCCTGTGTGGATATTTCCTACTTGCTTATGGTGCTGGGGCTAATGAAGTAGTTCAGCAGTGGATAGTATGATTCTGCACAGCGCTGTTGTGCAGAAGACCTCGTTGAAAACATGATACTGCTTATATAAAGGCGGATGCATCTACTAGTACCAGGTTGTTCATATACTTCCTTTCTCTTTCCCCTTGCGAGACTGATGTGATAGAACTGGTGTTTTTTATTCCCTGGCCGCAGCTGTGCAGACATGGCACACATGTAGCTAAGGGAAGAATTTAGTTCACTGCATCCAGCAGAAAGACAGAACAAGCCCTTCTTTTTCAGACAGAAAATCCAGCAGCTCTTTCTGCTTCATAACAAACTTACAGTGTAGGGGGTTTCACTGTAAATAGGTCAAAGTCATGTGCAATATATGGGAAAATAGTATGAATGCTGTTTAACTAACATGGTCTGCTAAATGTAAGTGCTATTAATCTTTAATAATACACATATACAGTAGATGTTGCTAATTGAATGCTGCCTTTCTTATTTTCATGTCTTTGAAGTTCAGGCTTTAAAAAAATCAATTTAAAACTCAGCTAACAGGGCTATAAATGTCACTTGATTAAGCTAATACTAAAGCTCTGAAGACTAAGCTTAAATACTTTCCTAATTCTCCTGGTATAGGTGACACTACTCTTATTCCTTCTGTGTCACCAGGTCACTGCTATGCAAACAGAAACCGCAGCTAATTACCTAATATACATTGGCTTGAGGTCTGTGACACTGTCAGATTTACTAATAATTTTGCCTTTAACAAGACAGGGCTTACACTGTCTAGAGATAAATATTCTGCTATCAGACAACAGGCAAAAGATGTCAGATGAATTATGTCTTTCACTGTCACTGCACATCACTGGGTTTTCCAATATATTGGGCTGTAAACTGGAGATCACAGTAGAAATCTTTTAAAAGCTTTCAAAAAGAGTGTCTACCTGTTATAGAGAAGAATATCTGGCTTCCATATCAGGCCATCAGGAAAACGGACGTTCTTCACTCCAGGGTATTCGGACACATTCCACTGTAAATAATAATCTGTCCAGTACTAAGACATACACACAAAAGAAGTAAGTTGTGTCACTTTTCCCATTAAGTCTTTTTTTTTTTTGTTAAAGAAATATTATTAAGGTTCAGTCAGTGAAATGTTTAGAAAAGATGAAATGGGCCAGCCAGAGCTCCCTGAAAAGCATGAAAATCTCATTTCAATTCACACTGCAATGCCTAAAACAGCCTATAAAATCAGATTAGGAGTGCTTGTATTTTGCTGCTCGTGCTGTTTCAGGCACCAATTTGGGAAGGAACAACATTTTTTGTTATTCATATATGAACTTTAATTACATTTTTCTTTAGAGGCAACTCTGCTTGTTGCTGGCTGAACTGTGAGACACGGCCGAGCTGCCGGGAGGGGGAACAACGGGCAAGGCAGGAGCGTTCACAGAGCCGGGCAGGGGCGGCCGCAGCAGCGCCCGGCACTGCCCGCCGCTCTCTGGGCCGGCTGTTGTGCTTCCCCTGGGGTGTCAGTGGCGACTGTCTGTGCAAAAGGCCTAAAGAAGAAATACAGTTCACTTTGCTTCATACCATTTATTATTTTCTTATAAATCTGTGTGTAATTACATTGGGCCTGTCTGTATCCTCATGTTATATTATTTACATTAACTTCAAATAACTGTAGGCATCACATAAGTTACAGTGGGCGCTTCGCTGTATTTGCAGTGCTGTTGTAATGCCAAACATCAACCTTTTAAATTAAACCTTCCAAATAGGCTGTGTGCACCACTTAGCACTTCAGCAGGCTAGTGGCCTTTGCCAAAGTCTTTGGCAGGTATTAATAGCAGAGAAGTTTTACCTTGGGCATTGTAGAAATTGTATTATTGATTATTTTCATGGGGCATTCACATCAAATTGCTCTGTGCAATTCCTTGCCTAAGAGTCCAAGGAAAAAATAATTCCCCAAACAAGTCCCCAGTTAGCCTCATGCTGCATGGATTCAAGTTCTTTTTTTGTGTCTCTAGACCAGTAATTGTAAATATTTTGCTGCACGTAACACATATAATATTATTTATCACACGCTCACCTTCTGTAAAGCTTTTGCTATGCAGTTTGTTGGCATGTGCTCCCATGATTTATCTCATTCAGTGTTTGCAGTGAATTTGCAGTGCCTCATCACCTGAACAGATTATCTGAGCTGTACATTTCTGGTTCCTTTTACTCTACAGGTACCTTTTTATAACAGAAATCTCAAATCAGAACATCTCACCTGCTTTCTTAGGTTTCCTTCTTTTCAGCACCTGTTCCAGTCTCAGTTCTCCAATTACGCCGTGCATATTGTGCTGCGTGTCTGCAGGCAGCTTCCACAGACTGATAAACTATTTCTCATTTTCTGTTCTTTATTTTTTTTTCAGAAATCTTATGTCTTAGTAAGTTCTGTTTTAAATTAACTTGCTGATCCCTACAAAAAGTTGATACTGTTTGCTTTTAACCACTTCTCAAGGAATTTAGAATTAGTGAGATTCTCATGGCACAAATTTTTTTGTTTGTTTTTTTAGCAAGTCCAGCAATGTAATCAAATGCACCGTGCCTTTTTTTCTGTGTTGTGCTTGAACCCAGGGCTCTCCTTGGTGCTGCCTTGTCCTGAGCAGGCAGGCTAAGCCCGGTTCTGCTTTGCGGTTCGCAGCCTGGGGGTTCGTGGGACGGCTGATGCCCACTGGGCAGCTGTGTGGACTGGGGTTCATATTATATATCAGCACTTTCCTAATAAAACGTTTAGTAGCTATCATGACCCAATACCGTAGAGCACAGTGCAGTACTGAGTGAAGACTGCCCAAGGGTGATAGAAAGCTTCACACTGGAGTTTGCAGCTCTAGAAATCATGTGAACTATTTCACACTGGACTTGGTCCGTTTAGCCTTGTGCAGAAATACTTCTGTACCTGTCCAGGGGGACACAAGCTGTTTTATTTTGTTTTAACTTTGGAGCTATGTTTTGCCGTGTCACTGAGGTGTGTTTGATGATGATGGAAGAGAGAAAATAGCTTGGAGTGCTATTAACCTGCCTGCCTAGGCAAGGCTCCTCCTATAACTTAAATGTAATGTAATATTTTGAATCTAAACAGTATCACCATGGAGACAGCATTCAGGACCAAAAAAAATCAAATGTATAAGAAACAGCTTTATATTCACCTCCTTCTCAGGTTAGTTTTGTGTTTTAGTGTTTCAATGATGATTTAGATAAAAATTATTTAAAATACATCTACGACAACACACATGTGCAACAAGGGAGGTGGTGGGCAGTGCCATTCTGAGAAAGATGTCATAAGGCTTCAGACTCTCTAGATAATCCAGTGCCGCCCGTCTGCCCCCAGCACGCGCTGGCTGTGCCCGCGTGCCGTGAAGCACGGGGAGCGCTAGGGCACCCATGCGGTTCTGGCCTTTTCCAGAGGCTGTGACTGTGGCTACAGTTTTTTGTAGTAATCACCTGATCTGCCCATTGCTATCTTAACATGCATAGAGTAGGTACAAAGGTGAATGAATCTATTAAAAAATATGCAGCGAATACGTAAAAGAATCAAAAATTTCCCTGGGAAAAAAATCTCGAAAATAATAAGGATGCCGTATGAGAGGAGAAAGAGAGACAAATAAATGATAGATTTTGAAGTATGAACTGCTGTCTGTTATCCTGGTAAGAAATCTCAGCAACTGCTGTCACTGTAGCTCTAGGGTAAAAATATTACATCTGACACCAAATCTTACTGTAAAACAAGTCTGTAAATAGCGTGAGCTGAATGCTTCTTCCCTGTCAGCTTGACTTAGTGAATAAATGGCATATCTGTGCTATCCTTTGCTAATCTCTCGTATGTTTCCTGGCATTTTGTTTTTTTTTTTTTAAAAAAAAAGTTTAATAAAAGGAAAATGAACTCATTTAAACTGAATGAGTGAGCCGATTAGAGAAATTGAGAGGTGTGAAGTTTCTGCTGAAGCAGCAGCAGTGTCTTGAATAACACAACTCTTCTCTAAGTCTTTGCTTAACCCAGTCAGTTCAGTTTCTGTAATACAGGCAGAAATTCAAGTCCTGGGCCTAGCAGCTCCAGGATGGGAAGGGCTGCCCACATCACGCTTCCTTCGGGAAGCGCTGCGGTGCAGCAGGCGCTGCGTGGAGCCCTCGGGAGCGCCCGCGCTCGGGGAGCTTCGTCCTGAGCCGTAGCCCCCAGCGAACGTACGGGGACAAGCAGGCGAGCAGGGTAAAGCTGTGCGGAGCCTTCACTTTGGAGTGGCTCTCTTGCTAGTTAAACGGACAGGGAAAAGAAATCTGACACACCTTGAACACCCTATTAGCTGTTCCATTTATTAATTGAGTAAAAATTACTCTGGCTCAGCAGTGTCAGCTCCAAGCTAACAGCAAGCCAAGCTCTCTGCTCTGTGATCGTGTGTGGCACTAGAGTTTGCTTAAGTGATAAGAGGGAGCCAGAAATTCTGTAACAACTGCAGCTGGGGAAGGACTTTTTTATAAAGCAGCAAAAAGTAAAATAAAGCTATTGTTAGAAAAACATATTGACTGTATGCAAAAGAAACCGGAAACTAGGAGCATGTAAAGTGTTGACAGCTGAACATTGGGAAACTGCATCCATTTGCCAGCAGCCATTTTAGCCAGGTATGAGAGAGAGAGAACTTTTAAAAGTAACATAAAGCTTTAATCCTTAGCAGTTAACTTCTCATGTTGATTTATGTTTAAACAGCATTTTGAACAACATGAGAGCAGCGTGGCTATTTTAATTAAAATGCCTCTTTGGGAGACTGAAAGCGAAGCAAATAGGAAAACAGAGCCCTTCAGGCAGGAGAATGGCAGCAGATCTCAGGAGTGAACAGATTCCTTCCGAGTAAATTTTCCCCTACTTTCTCTTGTATAGAAGAAATTTCTGGAGATTTCCAGAATACTGATCACAACAGTTATTATGCAGGAAATCATTTCATACATGCAAATGTTCTTTTCACAGCCAAATGATTTACTGAAACACTGGATTAATGGATTTTTTGGAAAAGGTGTTGAGGACCTTGCATCTGTAGTTATGGTGCCTATAACTATTAGGACTCTAGTATCTTATCTTGGTCTAGAGTTTAGGGTGACTAAATCAATCCTAGTGAGTTTATAATTCATTCAAATGTGGTCACTCAAATTCTTTCAGAAATGCCTGAAACAAAATCAAGTCCTAAACCTCAGTCTTACAGTTCTCCATTCAACTCAAGGTTGTCAAGATGCAGAAGAAAGCTTGAAAGAATAAAAAGAAATCAAACCCTCATGAGATTAAACTCAAAGATGAGAGTGTTGGGGGAAAGATGGTTTTTTTTTTTTTTCTCCAAAACTCACCATTTGTAGCCAGATGTTTGTTGTTAATACTTGATTCTTTTCATCCTGAAAGGAGGAAGACAAAAACAAGCCACAGTTTAGTGTCATGCAGGAAGGATGACAGCAATCATTGTACTTGACTATTATGAAATAGTTTTGCTAGACTTGCCTTTAAAACAAAGAGAATCAATGTCTCTTGCTGCCTGTGACAGAAGCTTTCACGGGTGCTTTTTACTGTATTTCCTGCCGCCACAGGCAATCACATTGTCTTTTCAGGGAGTCCTCCTGCCAGGCCCTTCCCTGGGGCATCCTTCTTTAATAACATGTCCCAAAGGTAAAGCAGGTTATGCTGCCCTTAGCCTGTTTCCCCTTCGCCTGGGAGCAGCCCTCTCAGCAACGGCCGCGCACACGAGGTGTGTGCAGAGGAGAGGGGCGGGACGGGCACGGTAGGTGACACAAAGCACCAGTGACGTGTTGAGGCCACACGGAGTAGCTTCTTAGCAGGCAAGTAGTGCTGCTGCTTGCAGTGGAATGTCATATCAGAGCTTTTCCAGAAAACTCTTGTCAGGGCAAAACATTACTATTCTGCCAGGAAAAGTTCACATTTGAAGGCCTTCCCCCTTGTCTCCTGTGACTACTTGATGTAAGCTGTGGTGACAGAATTGGCATCTTAATGCTGCGGTTAATTAGGAAGATTAATTCTTTGCTCTCAGACACAGGAAAATGTTGGTGACCTCATTTCTCTGGAGGTACCAGCAATTACTTATTCCTCAAACCATATCAATATCCACTCAGGTTGTGCGAAGCTAATGGAATACGCTCTATACTGTCATTATTGGGCACTTTCTGAGCTGAATGCAAAATACCTGGCCCAGCACCCAGCTCTTCAGCACAGAATCCTCCAGCCAGAGGAATGGCTCCAGGCTAAGGAAATACCAGGGCAAGTTTAGTCACCAGGGCAGCTTGGGCTGCCAGAGTTGCTCATGCATCTACATCCTTAAACCTAACTCTGTCACCCTGAACTTAAAATAACCTCTCTTAAAATCACCGTAAGGTTTAATCATCTTTTATGAAAAAAAGAGCTTTCTTTAGAAGATACTCTTTTTTTGCTGCTGTTAGATACACTTCTAAGCGACCAAAATACTGAGATGCCTTTAATTGAACCCATATTAGGGCAGCACAATAGTAAAAAGTTACCTGGCAGGTAAACCCAAACACAGCTACCAGACAGTGACGTTTTCGATGCTAGTGGAGCCTTTTAAAGAACAGCATCAGTGAAGGTAGCCCCGTGTTACTAGACTGTGTTATTACAAATAAATGTACTACTTGAGACAAATAAAAAAGATATATAGGCAGAGTGGTATAGTGCATGAAGAAAGTTTATCCACAAATGCACATTCCTATCACCCTTTAAAATAAAATAACATATACAGGGAAGTGTAGATTATAGATAGCTATTTGGTACTTTTCCTTTTTTGTTTTCTGTCTTTTCACCTCCTTGAACCTTTCCTTTTCACTCGATCTAAGTCAAGCAAGCAGTGCATCTAAATGGCTTCCTGGAGGAGCAGGTCTCATTGGCGCTAGGTTCCAGAGCAGCCGGTTTTGCTGCGTGGGCTCTGCTGAGCGCGTCAGCCAGGCAAAGGCGAGAGGCATCTCTAGTAGCAGCCGTTGCTCTCCAGCCATATTAATTTGATGCCACTCAAAAACCTGTGTATGTTGTTAGAGCAGGACAGGACTGGCTTGCGCAGGATCTTTATCTCATGCACAAATAAGCAGCAATGCATGAGAGGTCACTTACATCCCCGTGAACTAAACAAGCGTTACAAATAAGAATGTGTAAAATCTGTATGTGCTTTTGTTCCTTACAACCATTTTGGGGTCAGATGCAAACCCCACCAAAGAGAGTGTATCATTAAAGCTCTGCGGGCTTCTCCTGACGCCCCGAGTGCTGTCACGGGTGAATGTGGCCCCATGTCTTGTCTGCTGCAGACGGGTTCTGGCGAGAGCACGGCTGCTGCAGGCCTTGCTGCGGGGCTGGGCGCAGGTGCGGGGCTTTGCACAGCCCTCAGCGGCTGCAGGGCGATTCAGAATCCAGCACGCTTGTTTCCAGACTACTAGCTGAATTTCCCATCCTCCCATACTGGCAAACTGAGTGACACTTGTTTTAGTCTTAGCCTGATCGCCCTCTGCACAGATGTGGCTCCAGTGCAAGGTCATTGATGTTTTAAGAGCTCCTTTTTGAGCAGCAGCAAAGGGCCCCCGCACACTGTGAGTGCAGCGCAGCCGCCGGCCGCGGAGCAGAGGCTGCCCAGGAGCATCCACAGGAACCTCGTCCAGTCCCTGGCAGCCAGGAGTTACTCGGCTCAAAGAGGGTGTCTTGAGAGCACTAACTCAAAAATAACTCTGGCAGTGAAGAGATGTCCTAAATGAAGATGAAGCGTGCTGTTTTCCTGGTGTTTCTTTCAGTTATTTTAAACATTTAGAGCCCAAATGAGTTTATTTGAACCAAATAGCTCCCGCTTGGATCACTGTATTTAAGGTTTCATCAACGTTTGAACCGTAAATCCCATCAATGCTCCTCAGCCAGAAAAACTTTGCTGCTCGCTGAGGCTTGGTTCATAGTATTTTTCCCAGGAGAAGATGATTTATAAAATTGTAGCCGTTACGGGCTTGGATCTCCTCATTGCTAGAGGAGAGATTCTGATTTTAGAGGTTTTGCTGTTGTTGGCATGCGCCAGTGAGGCTGCTGGATGGTGGGGACAGGAGACATTCTTCAGCCCTTCTCCTGGCCAGGGGACTCCTGTGGGCGCCCGCTGCGACCCTTATGGCCAAGTGCCCTGTGGTTTTCAGCAGCGCTGTGCAGGGCTGCCCCTCTCCTCCTTGGCAAGGCTGCAGAGAACTTCACCAGTGCTTTGTCATTTCTCAATGACATTTATGCCCCTGGACTGGCATGCAGGCACCTGGTTTCCAAGTGACTTATATAATGTCAGCAATGTCCTGAATACACTCTTGCAGTCAAATCCAGCTTTATCTTTAATTATTTTTACATGATAGAATTCCACTTAAATTGCAGAGAAAGGAAGATAAGACCTGGGGAAAGAGCTAAGTTCCCAAGGGCTGCAGGGCTGGCCAGCAGCAGCGACGTGCGGCTGTGCCTGGGGGGCCGGCCCGGAGATGCCTGATGCCTGTAGCAGTTTTCAGACCCGTCCTTAGGGAGCAGCCGCTCCTGTCACACCACCTCTGTGCAAACACAGCCTTACTGGGGCCTGGCGTCACGTTCCCTTCCCTCTTGGAGAGAAGAAATTAAACATTTATTGAACAAAAGACTAATTATCCTCTAGTCTGGTAGCAACGCAGGCATTGAAAGAGGCAGGATTTAGTTCCTGCTCCATAGACTTTTTAATCATTTTTCTAAAATGGGGTAGTAGTATGAGCAGGAGGGACTGACACCATGGCAAGCAGTGTCCTCAGCGAGGGTGCAGAGCACTGGCTGGTGGAGGAGAGGGCTGAGGGGAGCGGCAGCACCAGCCCTCTCGGTTTTCTGGGTTTTCCACAAGCCCTTCTAGACTGAAACCTTTCAACACAATTTAGTCCAAGTTTGCACATTGCTTCCAAATGACTGAAGCTGTATTTTTTCCCAGAGAATAAACACTTGACAGAAATCTTTTTACTTGTCACTGCACTTATGCCCAGCTCCTTGTGCATTCACATCTCTCAGGGCCACAACACGCTGCATTTCTCGGCACGGGGAGAGGCAACGTGGCTGTTCATCATTAAAATGCTCTTTTGCAGGCACCTTTGGCCTGAGGAGGGAGAGAATTTACATTCGTTGTCATATCCTACGCAAGGAAAGCCTCTTCCCTCCTCCCACCGTCATCTTCCCCCTAGGCAACGCTTTCCCCCTTCCTAGCCGTTATCTGAAAGGCCTCTAAGAAGATGCGCACTTGGAAGAGACAGGCGTTTTCTCCCCCACAGCCCGGCTAGATTCTCCACCCTCAATCTTTCGGACGCCAGTGTTACGCTGTGCTTTCACGCTCACCCTTGGTAAGAAGCAGCACCAGCTCCTAGAGGGAAATCTGGAAGGCCCTAAGTTCTGTGGGAGGTGGGGGAAGCTCTCTCTCCCCTCTGGCTTTCTAGGCAACCAGCTCTGCTGGTTTTTTCTTTGTACCCTTCTACTTCCCTGGGCACATTCGACCTTTTCTCCAGTAAGAACACAGGAGCCGAAGCCTTATTTTAATCTTGTCACCCTACAACAACTTCATGAAGGATGGAAGAGATTCTTACTCTTCATTTTATTAGTATCTATTAGCATTAGCATTTTACTGGTATTTACTAGTATTCATGTTTAGTTAGGTGTGATTTCTCACTTGTTTTCTTTAATGACTACTAATTTCATATTTTAGGTATACACAGTGGCATAGCTAGACGAGAAGTTTAGATGCAAAGAGATCACCATGGCATGGGGCTCAGAAAAGTCCCAAGCAGTTGATCACTAGGGTTGGAAAGTAGATGAGAAAATTATCACTAATGCTTTCCCTGCTCTTACACTATTTTCTAGGTATGTGCTACAAACCACTATCAGAAACATTATATTAAGCTTAGAAGGACCTTGGTCAGACTGCAGGTCGGGCTGTGTTCTTACTATAGTCTACTGGCAAGGAGAGGAAGCTTCTTTTCAAACACTTTTCACAGGGTCATATGCTGGAATTACATCACTGAGTCTATTAAATGTACAGAACTGGAGATTTCTGAAAGTCCTTCCCAGCCTTCAAGAACAGTAATTCCAACACATGCCATAATCCATAGGAAATGTATGTATTATAGTATTTTGTAGTGTCACATCCAAGGATTTAGAAATTGCTGAATTTTGTAGATTTTTCTAAAAAGGGCTGTACTGCAAGTGGAATTCAAATCTAGTGTAAGCTGCTATATTATCCTTAAGCGTAAATTAGCTGAACATAGTGAAGGCTTACTCCCTGCCTCATTTTAATGTGAAACAGTCACATCTCTTAAATGCTTTTTTAGTAGAAAGCTTTTTTCTTTGATACATCCAGTTAATCTGCTTC